ATTTCGACCGGCTAGCTAGAATATTCTATATATTTCGTAGAATTTCAAATGTAACACAATTTATTTCTTTTCATTTGTTTAAAGATGGTGTTATTAATTTAGACAGTGTAACCAAGGAGAGCGGTATTGTAGCGACACGGAGTCAATTTCACGTACGTCACCACTTTGAGGTTAAGTTTCGAGTTGTTGGAATTACGAAACGACGCAGAGTGGAGCATTCGGCCTGGAGAAATGGTCAAAAGTCGATTTAGAAAATCGTCCGTAAAATACCAGATTGTTTGCTTTCGGAGTTCTGCTGTTTCAACTCTTCTTCTTTTCTTATACGTTTCACCAAATTTGTAGAATGTGGAAGCAAGAAGGGTAGCAAATGAATAAAATTGAGAATATAGAACCGGACACGTAGAGCAAAGGTAAGAAAGAAATTAAAAATGTCTAGGGGTGCTTTAGAAACGAGAAAGAAAGTTTGCTGGGGTAAAAAGGGTGAAAGCAAAGAAGAGACTCGAAAAGGATGAAAGAAGGTGGAGGGTGTGCAGAAAACGAGAAACGTAGTTTGAAGATCATAGAATAAAGCAGTGCTGGCCATTATACGAATTGTGTCGAGTGAAAATTTATCCAGAATAATTATACGAACGAAGTCTTTTTAGTCGAATATTTTATTCGAATAACAATCATTCATCATTCGTTACAAATTATTCTCTATATTTATTCTAACAGTTCTGCACTATTTATTATAATTGAATGAGTTGTTCGAACAGAGATTGTAAAATTGTTCGAATGAAGATTTTGAATTCGATTCAATCAATCAAATTCGAATCAATATTTCAAAAGTATTCTAATCAGTTGTTCGAATAGAGATTGTAAAATTATTCGAATAAATTGTTCGAATAAATATTTCAAAAGTATTCTAATCAGTTGTTCGAATAGAGATTGTAAAATTATTCGAATAAATTGTTCGAATAAATATTTCAAAAGTATTCTAATCAGTTGTTCGAATAGAGATTGCAAAATTATTCAAATAAATTATTCGAATAAATTGTTCGAATAGAGATTGTAAAATTATTTAAATAAATTATTCGAATAAATTGTTCGAATAGAGATTGTAAAATTGCACGAATAGAGATTTTGAAATTATTCGAATAAATTGTTCGAATAAATATTTCGAAAGTATTCTAATAAGTTGTTCGAACAGAGATTATAAATTTATACGAATAAATTATTCGAATAAATTGTTCGAATAAAGATTGTAAAATTATACGAATAGATTATTCGATTAAATTGTTCGAACAGAGATTGTAAAATCATTCGAAATGGTTGATCTTAATGATTTACAAAATTACTCGAACAATTACGCCGCTAACTGTTGACTGTTTTTGTCGCGTAACTTCTTCAGGGTGCATAGATCACCAAAGATCGTAGACTCGAAGATCGTCGAAGCAGCTGAAGTAAACAAAACTAAAAGAAACGAACTAGAAAAGCTAGAAAACTAGAAAAATATTGGATGATCGCGGAAGAAGCAACTGAACAAAACAAAACTCGAAACAGTCTCCGAGATCACAGAACGAAACATAGGACGCGTAGAAATAGGCGCGCCTATCGCGAAAGCAACTGCAAAAGAGAAAACGAGAAACAGTGTTATTAAAGCTGGCAAAAGAGCCGCGCAGATCCCAAAGGAGGCTAATAAACGAACGGCGAGAATCGCATCGAGAAACCGATAGCGAAAACCGAGGAACCGAAACGGAAGCAAACCGGCGGAACAAAAAGGACACGGCGACGGTATCGTGTGCTGAAAAAAGGCATCAATAAATCTGGAAATAGAATATGAAGGACCGAAAGAGATCCAGAAATAGGCGTGGAACGGCGCGCGGCGCGGCGCGGCGGCGTAGACAAAGCTAGAAAGGGGTTGGCAATTGCGAGAGGGATCGAGGGGGTGTAAAATCGGTGGGGGACGAGAATCGGCACTAAAAAAAGAAATAAATAAATCTCGAAATAGAATATGAAGGACCGAAAGAGATTCAGAAATAGCCTGGGAAAGGACAAAGCTAGAAAGGGGTTGGCGAGCGAGAAAAAGTGAGAGAGTAAGAGAGAGAGAGAGCGAGAGAGGGTGGGAGAGGGAGAGCGAGTGAAGCACGTTCGAGAGGAGGGATGTAAAATCGGAGAGGGACGACGGGTGCCGTGGATCGGAGCGAGCGGGAGGGAGCGCGTGCCGGAGAGGGAAGGGGCTCTCGAGCAGATAGAGAGGGAGAAATGGAAAGGGTAGGGGGTGGAGCGGAGCGGAGCGGCGAAGGGGCGGGAGAGAAAGAGACGCGGGCACGGTGGTTGAGTCCGGCCCGACAGTCCGCGTGTTACCCCCAGCCGTAAAGCAGGGCCGCGTTTCCTCGACTTCCGGCTAAGAGTCTCGGTACCCGCCACATTCCAACCAGACACCGTTTCGCAACGGTTACGCGAGTCGCGAGAGACACCCGCGCCCCGCGTCTCGAACGACCGCGCCGCGAGGACCACAGTGAGAACCGGAAGTGACGACGGCCGTTCACGTTCTGATTGTCACGGTGACGATACTCGGTGAACCAGCGGACTGCCGAGCCGTTCCTTTCGGTCTCCTGCTGGTAACGTACCATATTTACCTTCTACTTGCGAGTAGAAACTTACGTGTCCACACCGTTTATCATCAATTTTCCTGTTATTCGTTGCTCCATTGTCGCTCGTTTGGGCGATTTGTGTGCGACACCTTTGTTACCGAGGCTTCGGTACTTCCGATCGGACACATTGTTCCCATTTTTGACACGCGACGCAACGTGATTAATTTATTCGAGCTACTTTGGTACCGTTTGCAACCATTTTATCGTTATTTATTTATACACTGTGACACGTTTTACGGGTTTTACGAAATTATGGCTCGCGAGGTTTGGTGTTTGCCGATTGTTCGTTGCTTCTTCCGATTGCCAGTTTGTAACGTATTTTGTTGTATCGGTAAATAAACCGCGGATTATTATATATGCGTTTGCAACCACCGTTTCCACCTGTTCACAAAATTCTGTTCGGAACATTTATCGAGTTGTAAACTGTGTTGCAGTAGAATTCCCGTACGGGCTGCAAATATTTTCGAGCGACGTCCGCGGCCTAATAACAACGAGAATAACATATCGGAAAGCACGTGTAGAAAATATTTCACCCTTTCTAGAAGATTACGGAAAAAGTTAGTTCATATAAATATGTGAATGAGGGATTGCAAGGTATTATGTGTTTATCGAATAAAAACTTTATTTATTGGATAAAACCTTATTTAATTGGCGAAGACATTATTTTTTTGGAAATAAGGATCGTCGAGGAAGCGACTATTTCGCTTCGATCGACTGGTGGATCTTCAATCCTGTCGATCATTATTCTCGACGATTTTTAATCTTTTCGATCTTCGATCTCGTCGATTTTTAATCCCGTCGATCTTCAGTCTTATCGATCTTCGATCTCGTCGATTTTTAATCTCGTCGATCTTCAATCTCGTTAATTTTTAATCTCTTTGATCTTTAATCTTATGGATCTTTAATCTCGTCGATCTTCGATCCCATCAATCTTTATTCTCGATGATCTTTAATCTCAATGATCTTTAATCTCGACGATCCTTAATCTCGTCGAGATTTTCAACCCCGTCGATCTTTAATCTCATCGATTTTTAATCTCTTCGATCTTCAATCTCGTTGATTTTTAATCTCGTCGATTCTTAATCTCTTCGATCTTTGCTCTCTTCGATCTTCAACCTCATCGATCTTTGCTCTCTTCGATCTTCAACCTCATCGATCTTTGCTCTCTTCGATCTTCAATCCCGTCGATCCTTAATATTATCGATCTTCAATCTCGTCGATCTTCAATCTCGTCAACCTTTAATCTCGACGATCTTTAATCTCGTCGTTTTTTAATTTCTTCGATCTCGTTGATTCTTAATCTCGTCGATCGTCAATCTCGTCGATCATTAATCTCGTCGATCATTAATCTCGTCGACGTTCAATCTCGCTGATCTTTAATCCCGAAATTATCGATGCGTATGAAATATCGAGCCCCTTTGTCGGTGGAATTTCTTTTCTCGTGGGAAAAAGAAATCTCAAGGGGATGAATCAGGACATCTTAGAAAACGGTTCACGTCGTCTCGCCACGGTGCAGCAGCGAGCTTTCCCGGAAGCAGTTCGCAAACCGCTAACGACTACATGAATGTTTAACAAGTAGCATCTTGTCGTGGCACCCCCTCCCGTGTCCTCGAATTGCGTCCTTGGCTTGTTTACATCTCTGTCCGTGTGCTTCCGATTCGCGCGGATCCGAGCGTACGAATAGAAAATTCGACGGGTTCCGCTGGATCTCTTCATATTTTTTTTTGTCGGCCCGTAGGCGCGGCCTATCGGCTTTTGATTTACCGTTGACCTTCTTTTGTCGAATCTATTGACCCGTGGCTCGATCAGATGCGCGCTGAAACTTTCATCTCTGTGTGTCGCGGAACCTTTAACGGTCATGATGTTATATTTATGGCCGCGCTAGGAATCCGCACAGAAGTTACATCGATCATTGCCATTTCACGGGATTATCGTTTAATGACGTTATTTATCTCCGTAATCAATACCGTATTTATCCTGAAATGATTAGTATTCTCTCCCTTTGTGCGTATTCGTTGGTAACATCTTCAGATTTATTCTCCATTTTTTGTTTGCATTGGCCGCATTTTTTGTGACTTTTCAGTTTCCTACGTGCGCGATAAAGTTGCTGTTAAACAAAATTGTAGTATCCAGATCGCGGGTGTTATCGTAATTATTACAAAATTGTTGACAATCGGCAAACTGTAAAAACGAGGCGGGGAGAATTTATTGTACTTTTATCAGTTAAATGAAATTTTAATGCTACCTTCATCGGTTAAATGAAATTTTAATAATTAGATTGTGGATATTATTGCAATACCTGCTATTTTTAAATTTTATACTATTTTATATTATATTATTTCACTTTATATTGTATTATTTTATTTTATATTATATTATTTCATTTTATATTATATCATTTTATTTTATATTGTATTATAGTTTGTATGCACCGGCTGCATCGTCAGTGATTTTCCAATTATTTTGTTGCATCTAAATAGGTACTGTTTAATGAATTTGTAATAGCTAGATTTTTTTTCTTTTTTTTTATAGATATTATTGCAGCTATTACTTCGTACTATCTTTTATTTTTGTTCTCGTTTCATATGTTTCCCTTTTGTATGCAGCTGCTGCATCGTCAGTGATTTTTCAATTATCTTTTTGTTCGTCGTAACGTTGATGTTAGATAAAATTGTCAAAGCTAGATCGTGGATGTTACCTTTGGTCTCATTTCGTTGCTCTTCTTTTGTCTCATTTTATACTTTTTTGTTTGGTATCGCGTTTTTACCGGCCATTCAGTCATCTTTCTACAGTGCCAAATACCACAAAAGATCATAATTATAATCATAAGAATAATAATTACAGTAACAATAACAATAATAACATTAATAATAATAATAATTATTATTATATTAATAATAACGACGGGATTAGCCTTTTATACAAGTGAGGTAGAAGAGTAATAATAATGTGGCGGTAATAATATTATAATAATAATAACAACACACACACACACACCAATAATAATAATTATTATTATTATATTAATAATAACGACGGGATACAGTGAGACAGAAGAGTAATAATAATGTGGCGGTAATAATATTATAATAATATATATATAAAATAATAACACCAATAATAATTATTATTATTATTATATTAATAATAATGACGGGATACAGTGAGACAGAAGAGTAATAATAATATGGCGGTCACACAAAGACGGATAAAATACAAAGACTTAAAACTGAAAAAAAGACTCGAACATAAAGATTCGCTGGGGGAAGGAAGGGAAAGGAAAATATATGCGGAATATAATTTGATTATGTGTATTATGCAAATCGCTGGAAAATGTCCAGGCTTCGAGAAACAAAAAGAGCAAACGGTTGGAAGTTGACGTTACATTAATTCTCTCTTTGCCATTTAATTGCACAATCGCGGACACTCGCGGTCTACAGCAGCAGCACGTGCAAAAGCAGGTAATTAAAAAGCACTAGAAAAAGATTTTGACGAACACAGTGGAAAATTATTCTTGCGCTGCGCCCACTTATTTTCGAATTAAGCGCACGACCAAAGCGGAACAGACTGTGAGCGAAAATGTTCTGAGCGACCCTGTTCAAAAAGTTTTAATGCATTTCTGATTCGCTAATTTGTTTCTCGGCCCGCGTTTTCGCAAGTTTCCGTAGCGTGTTCCCGGTAACTTTTTTTTTCTCGCGGTTCGATTTGTCGGATTTTTGTTCTAATTAAGCTTCACGGCTGAAATACGTTCGCGTGGAACATTGATTACAGTGCGTTCTACAGCGGTAACGGTGTTGCGCGACAAAATCGAAGAACTTTCGATAGAAATTCAGATAAAGCGACGATATCCTTTTTTGCACGTTAAAGCTGATGCGTTGCAAAATAAGGGAGAAATAGAGAGAATGCGATACGATCGTCTTTTACCGCTGGAAATTTATGTTAAATTTGACGTTGTTCCAATAAACTTTTCGTTTATTAAATATCGTCCACAGTCGAATGTTTTTAATGACATGTTACAATCCGCTAGCAAAACTTGTCTAGCTCTTCATTTTTTAATAAACAAATTGATCGATCGAAATCGCGATTTTTTCCTCGCTGAGATAATTTGATAACTCGCTGACATTTTTCTCAAAATCCTGAGCTTGTCAAGTTGTTTAAATTATATCAAAAATTTTATTTCAATGACAATGAGAATATTACGATATAAAAAAATATCTAACTGTACGCATATTTTGATGAATAATTTTGCGGGAATATTTCCAGTTTAACATAAATTTGCAATGTTGAAGAATGTTCGTGCTATATTCTCTCTATTTTTCCTTCATTCTGCAACTTTATTGTGAAAAAAGAATCGTCGCATTATCTCGCTTTATCTCGCTTTATCTACAAAAAGTTCTTTGATTTTGACACAACTTCTTCGTCACTTTGCCCCGCTGTGCGCCGCGCGTCGTGCCAAAATACTTCGAGACCTTGCGCCTCTTTGCTTCCCCTCGAAGTGTACTACTGTCCGAGAGTTGCCCCGGCTCAGGACAAATGGCATGGATATTTTTCATTCCGAGAGGCAACGGTAACTGATTTATTTAGGAGACTTATTTTCAGTCTGCTCCGGCGAGAAAAAATTGTCGCGCGACGCGAAACACAACGTCGACGATAGCAGGAATTTCGTGAAATCTACGTCCCCGCGACTCCACCGCCACGAACAACATCCTGCTTACGTCATTGCTGTTTTAATATCGAATGCAATTGTTTAACCCTCGACCGGCGAGAGCGCGGGTCACTCGAAAATATGTGCGTCGACGAGTATAATGCTGTTTAATCATTTTCATACCGCAGCAAGCGTTCGGGTCAATTTGCATCGAGAGCGTACCGTTTAATCACATTTACTGCTGTAGAAACGTATGAACTATAGTTAAAAATCGATTTCTATAGAACATACGTAATTTTTTTCTTGAATTCAGTGTCCGCTT